GGCGTTACCCAAATAGCGAGCTACCTTAATTCTACACTAATTGATCGTGTCATGGTAAAATATTTTTCTGTAGCCTCGAATTAATAATCACGAAATAATAATTTTTTAAATCGAGAAACCATAGAAATATTTCTACTAATTTTATTCATAGAATTACACTAATTGATCGTATCGTCATAATATATTTTTCTGTTTCCTCGAATTAATAGTACAATCGTGAAGTAATAGACAAAGAAGTACATATTTTTATTGTAACGTAGTTGGTCTTACAATTTCTTGAATCTCTGAGGTGTACTCGTATAATCACGTTCTTGTCAGAGTTTACTGTTTATAATCTACCATACATTTCGTATCACATTTGTTCGAATAATATTCGTGAAATAATAATTTTTCCATTGAGAGAGACTATACAGGGTGTTTCAGAAAAAATTATAGAGCCGGGGAGGGGTGATTCTGGATGTGTTCCTGAACAACAATTCCCTTCACTGTGCATTTTGCTATAGGAAATTGTTGTTCAGATGTACTTTTAGAATCACTCCTTTGTGGCTCTAACACTTATTCTGAAATAGCCTGTATAATTCAATTAACACAATTACAGACACTTAACGGTAATACTTGACCGTGTCATCGTACTACATTTTTCTTTGCCCTCGAATCAATAGTACAACCGCGGAAAAAATAATTAACAATTGTTTTCATGTTACATAAAAAAATATGTATATACACCAATACCTCACTTTGCGTCGTGGTTACGTTCCAAAAAAACACGACGCAAATTGAAACGACGCAAAGTGAATTAAGATTTTCTATAGCAAACCATGTAAAGATCGAAGATAGGTTCCAGGGTTACGAAAATACTACTTTTTAAAAAGAAAATTGAACAAAGTACATACATTACAACACACTACGTAATTGAAACTGAACTCTAAAATTAGCAAAACAAAGTGAAAATAAAACTGTATTAAAATTGCGTTGATTTTTAGTTAGAAAGGGAATCCCCGTGTTTTGATGGCATGGCGCAATTAGAAACAAAAGTGTTGCCATCTTTTAGAAAAAAAAGAAAATTTCAAAAAAAAAATTAAAGACTCGAACTCAAAACAACGCAACCTCGAAAATCTAACGACGCACAGTGAAAATTAGTACTAATTAAGCAGCGATGCAACTTCGAAAAAACGCAAAACGAAACGACGCAAAGCGAAGTATTGGTGTATATTTTTACTAATTTAATACCGCGTCCGTTGTTCCACGTTAGACATGAGAAATACTCGTTGCAGTTAGGTAGAATCGATCGATTAGCCATTGATGCATGCGGGGTTTATTTAGAGGCGAACGAGACGCATGATTAACCGACCTGTTCACGATGTAAAATTAGCCATTGTTGTTAAAGAGTCGTGTTTTAACAGAAATTGTTGGGATAGGGTTGGGGGAGGGAGGGAGGGTTAATGGAGATTGGCAGGCGACCGCGTTATATTCTTTCATATCTTCAATAAGAAATGTTCGTCAATATAAATAATATTATATTGTTGAGAGATGAATTCCTACTTTCTGAGTAAACGTATTGTAACTCTGTATGCCTTCGACGAATGCTTACGGTATTTGTTTAAGATTAATAAAGAAAGAAACAATAGGAATACCGCACACCTATTTTCGTAACGATTATATTTTTCATGGATATATATATATATATATATATATACTTATAGTAGCGTAATTGTAGAATAATATATCATACAAGGGATTACATTTGCAATCTTGTAAAATTTATTGTAAGTTAGGTAATGTAATGTAAATATATATAAATAGTTTAAACAAATATGCTATCTTTTTATCTGTAGTTAGCTGATTACCCGGCATTCCCTGGATGTTCATTTTGAATTTTCTTCAACAATCTTTTATCAGACAGGAACAGCAGGGTAGCCATTTGTGGGGCCCGGTTCAAAAATTTCAATTCACACCCTCCTCTGACGTCCCTCCCCCATCCCCTTCTTACTGCGAGCAAATTGAAAGAAACCTAACCTATCGTTTAACTCCATGTAATCGAAACTTAAATACAAAAAATTTTCCTAATCGGTCCAGCCGTTTTGATGTACTATGTATATATATACATATACACATTCATTTTTATGTATATAGATTCTGTTAGGTAGAATGATAACGAAGTTATATACACAGACATAATTCTCTTTATTTAGGACGGACTAATACATGTGATAATACTTTCACTCAGTTTCTCTCCCATCTGTTTCATTATTCAATCTCGTTTTACTATTTCCTCAGCTAGAAATTCATTTATAATACAAAATGATTGTGTTTATTCAAGGTCGGGGAACCTATGGCGTTCTGATACCTTAGTATGGCCTTATTTATCTTTATGCTAGGGTAACAGACTCATTTATTGTCAATCATATGCCAGCCAAAGTTCTTTTATTTAAAATAACAAATAAATGTTATGAAATTCTACAGAAACAATTTTGTTTAACACTGTAATTCATAATCAGACACTGTAAAAAAGCAGCAGTTCATTTTTTTTCCATTGATTTTTAAAAAGACCATCGAAAATTGTTGTCTTTTCATTGTTGAATTTGTTATATGTTGAATTTATTATTATAGATTCCTATTACTATTAAAAAGCTACCTGTAACATTTTAAATCAATTCATGGGTTTTTTGATAAATTATAGCGACTTAAAAGTTGCATGTACTCTTATGGTAATCAGCAGTAACCCAAAGAAAACTTTCTGGTATTTGGTGTGCATGCACGAAATTGGAAGAAACAACTGACTT